CCAAGCACTACTTCCAATAAATGAGGATTTTTCGAGAATGAACGAGGGCATACTATATTGCGGCAGAGGTGTAAACCGCAATCGAACACACAATCTAGGGTTAAAAACTGTGAATAAAATAAAAAAATTTAGGAAGAACGAAAGAAAACTTACTTCTTCGCGCTGCATCGGGGTGATGGGCTTGCTTTTAGCTTCCTCTTCGCCATATTTTTTCAGTTTGGCGGACGGTGAGCGGAATTAAGAGCGATCGGCTGCAACTAAGAATTGTGAAAGTTAAGTAAAATTTTCTTTGCAACTGAGAGTTGTGAGTGTTGGTTTTTTCTCGCTACACTGTCAAATCATGTTTGTAATTGTTCTTTATTTATTATTATTTTTTTTTAAAAAAAATACAAAGATATATAACAAACAGGTATATATTTAGAAAATGGTAAATAGCGCAAGAAGTGTTATGGGTATATATAAAATAAAAAAAGAACGGAGTGCAAATCAATTTATTATAAAAGGGGACTAAACTTACATATATTATGTATAAGAGAGATTTAAAACCAACTTTCTCTTTTTATTATACAATATTTATTTTTAATAATACATTCTTAATTATTTATTAATTGTATCTCCCTTAAATTCTCGTGTCTACAATAAATGAGACATCGTAGTTGAGACGGAGGGAGTATATATTTATATAATTATATTTTATATAATATAATATTACTAGAAGAGAGTCGTGCTATGCACAAGTAATTATAAATTTTAAATTATTAAAATTAATTATTATCATTAAATATATAACGTTTTAATACGAGAATTATTTGAATAAATTAAAATATTTTACATGATTAATTTTTTGGTATTCTAAATATTGGAAATTGATAGATTTTATCAATTAGAGCCTTGGTTACCGTCAGTGTCTCTAATGTATTACCTTTTTTTTATCTCTCTTCTACGTCATATTCACGTCAACATTTAAATGATTTTCTTTAACCCCGCTATAACACCATCATTTTTACATATTACCTTTACAATTTTATAAAATTTATAATAATTATTTATGTTTATATATTCTTACTAGGGGCATTTGGACTTAAATCCATTTGATATAAAAAAATATATATATAGATCGAATCCCTCCTAGTTTTGTATTTTGATTGTACTTCCTACTTTTTATTTTTAATTACACTTCACTCCCTAATACTCATTTTACCATTGGAATTATCATTTAATATAATGAATACTGTATGTACTCCCATTATTTTTATATAAACCTACATTATGTATTAAGTACTTCAAAATTATTGCGTTGTACTAAACAATATTATAGTTATGTGTTTAAAAGTTTTATTTATATACTAAAAATAATTACAGAAATTTAGACTAAAAAACAAAATAAAATATTAATAGAACCTACCGTCCTAGTCATCGATGTTATATCACTTTCAAACCTTTCTCATCGCATGCCGTCAAAGCCTTCGCTGAAGTAATCGTCATCGAGCCTCCCCGAAGGAACTTTATCCACCGTGGAAAGTTTCCATTCAATGTCCAAAGCTCTGTTGCCGCTCGAAATGTCGAAAAAGACATCCTTACCAAAAAGAAGTTGGAAAAAGTAAATTAAAGTTGTTCTCCCTAAAATTCATTTTCTCCTGCTTCCCCTCCATTCGGGTTAATTGCTGGTTAGATCTCTTCTGCAGGGGCTTAATCTTTCGGTAACTCTGAAGCCGCCGGCGTTTCTCCAATTCTTAACTCATAACGATTTCTTCCCAACTCAACAAAGCTTCCATTTCTGGCGATGCCGCAATCGTTTAATTCATGGACTCTAGAATTCATCCCCAAAAACCTCGCTCGGCTGCGCGGCACCATCAACTACAAGTGGCGAAGGAAGTGGCAGTTGTTTGTTCAATTCCTCCACCTTGAAATGGCAGAAGGAGAGGAAAAGGGGAAGTTTGTGGTGTCTGTTTGTTCGTTACCATCTCCATTTTTATTGGTTTGTAAAGCTTTAATGATTTGTAAGAAAAAAACGGGATTTTGTTTATGATATATACCTTTTCTTTCCCTTTAATGGCGCTTTGCTTTGCTTGTCATGCTTACTCTTAGTAGCATTTGTGATTGTGCAAAGAATATTGTAAAATATATTTTTTTAAAATGTAAATTTCTTTCTTAATTTTTCCCATTTTTTATTTTTGTTCTTCAATGGTGGAACTAAGAGCTATTTAATCATTTTTGTTCAGCAATTTTGAGATCTAAGGTGTACAAATTTAGGAAAAACAATTTGATTTAGGGTTGCAGAAAGAAGGGCTCGAAGATTTTATTGTTCGATTGGCGGGGGTGGGAGAGAGACACCAGACCCTTTGACCCTTTGATTTGTTTTATTTTGAGATGAATTGATTTTAATTTCGATATATAATATTTGCGTTTTTCTATTCATTTGACTAAATTTGTGGTTTTTTCAATTTATTGTATGATTGTACGTGTGTTTTCTTTTTCTTTTCTTTTTTTAATTTAAAAATACATAAAAACTAATTTTTATAATTAATAATTATAATATTAGTGTGTAATCCGTATTATGGACGGGTTATTTTAATACTAAGGGTCTCATTTATAAATTAAGAAAAAATTACAAAAATATTTACATTAGTGTTTTATATTAACATTTGTACAAAAATTAGATTAATATAAATATATTTTTAATATCAGTTACAATGATGTAAAAGGTAAATATAATCAAATCAATTTAAAAAATAACATACACAATAAAAAAAATTAATTTATAAAAAATAAGAATAACGAAATAGATAATTAAAAATATATATATATAATAAAAATGTATTTACTACAATAAAAATAAAATTTTTATATGTTAAAACTTATCATAATTTTGTGTATGAACTTTTCAAATATTCTTTTAAATAAATTTAAAAAAAACTCAAAATTCAAACATAATCTTTAAAATTGAAAAATCTAATAAAATATTATACTAAAAACCAAATCAATTAAAAAATACATATACAACCAGAATAAGAATGAAAAAAATATTTAGTAAAAGAAATACAATAAATAATTAAAAATACATACATTATATTCAATTTTTTTTCCTGATTATATTAAAATTGCTTAGTAGAAACTAAAAAAAAAAATACATAACAATAAAAATAATAAAATCAATATAATACGATAGATAATTTATGCATAATCAAGTTTAAAATTTAAAAAAATAATCAAAATTTTTTATTATTAGAATTCACTATATATAAAAATAGGAAAACACAATTCCTTCCTAAGAACATGAGAAATGATAACAAATTATATTTGCCAATAAAATGTGAAATAAAATACGATATTAGAATACAAAATCTACTATAATCAAATTTTATACTACTTTCGTCCGGCTCTAAGGGTTTTATTTACTTTTTGCGTGTTGATTTTGTAAAGATTAGTGTCTTATAATACTAATAGGACATTTGTACAAAAAAATTCTACAAATATAAATATACTTTTAATGTTAAATACAATAATGTGACTTTTAGAGGAAATGTAGCTTTTAGAGGTGGACAGATGAAGTATTATATAAGAGTTCTTCAAGAATGCATGTAAATATGTCATAGTCACCTCTATATCAACCAATAAAAATAACATATTTTTTTAAAAAGTAAGATAAATAAAACAAACTAAAGAAATAATTGAACTACAAACATTTGATCGCAAATCCCACCACTGGATTAAAAAAGTAATGAATCATAAACGCTTTCTGAAAATTTTTGTTGGATAAAACAATTAACGAAACAATGTTTTTCAATATTTTTCTTATGATATTCTTCTTATAATCATTATTTCTTCTGCGTTTTCAGTGTTAAATAATGAAAAAAATATATTAGTAAATAAAAAAATACAATTTTTAAAAATAAAACCAAAAATTTTAAATCAAACAATTTATAAAATTAAAACCCTCATTTTATCCATATTTTTTGTTATTTAGTATCTTAATCAATCTAATTTTGTTAGATTATTTATTATTCTAATAATTTTTAATTAATTATACAAACTTATTATTTAAAAAAAATAAAAACTTCAAAATTATGAAAATAAATAAAATAAAATATCTTCTCAAATATATATATATATATATATATATATATGATATATGTCATTGCCGGATTCAATCCATCTTGACATCCACCTCACTTTCGGTTAGGTACACTTCAGCGCCATGCCGTGCCACATGGGTGCACGTGCATCACGTGACATTTTTTGGCATCGGGTGGACAATAATAAGACTATCACTTAAGTCGTGTTCTTTTGTAAATTTAGTAGACATTTACTAGTCAGATTTTTTTTTTTTTTTTTTTTTTTTTCTCTAAAAGAATATCACATCAAATAATAATTATTTTTTTAAATATTTTTATATTATACTCCCTCCGTCTCAAATATTTTATTTGCTTTATTGTAAACACGAGAATTTAAGAGAAATATAATCAGTAAATAATTAAAAATATATTAGTGAAAATAATTATCGTATAATAAAAATAATTATAAATTAAAATTAAAATTAGTATAATTAAAATTTTAAAAATTATAAATTAAATTTTTTAAAATAACATTAAATTGTATAAATTGACAAAATAAGTGAAACCGACTAAATGAAAATGTGAACATGAAAATCGGGACGGAAGGAGTAATACAAATTTATTTTACATGTAAAATATCACATTGACTTCTATTTATATAATATCAAACAACTATTCAAATTCAACTTTTTATTATTAAAAATCTAAACTAAAAAACTAAAACCCACAAACAAACACATTTTTAATGTCCTAACTTACAAAATTATAAAAAAAAAAAAATTACTAAAAATAATAATTTGAGATACATAATGAATAATTTTGAAATTTTCTCATTATAATTTTATATTAAGACAGTCTTCATTTTTTTTTTTTTTTTCCATTTTGCCACTGCCAAAGGGATAAGTTTTTCAAAAATTAAGAAAAATCAATGAATAGATCATGTCATCATCGAAAATGAATTAGGTATAAATTTGTCCTAAAAACCTTTTCTTGTCCCCTACAACAACAGCCCTTAAAGCTCCATCTACAAATAAATTATGCTAACTTGCTAAAAAACTGGTACGTCTCACGGCAACAGACCAATATAGTGCAACGGTCAGAACTAGTGTGCATCAAGATCCATTTACAGCAGGAACGGAAACTAACCTCGGCCAGATGAACAAAATTTTGTATAGACTAAAGACAGTGTCCAAACAGCTGCAGCGATTCCCTGTTGTTAGAAGAGAACATCTATTTATCGATTGGTTTCACATGTTCGGGGAAAATAAATTAGTAAAACCGCATAAAGGGTAGAGGGAGTTTTTACCTTTACATTATCCATTGCGGCTAAGTTGAAGCCTAATGTATCCTTGCATTCCTATCATAACCAATAATTCGATCAAATACAGATTTTCGATTCAAATTTGAAAAGGATTATAGATTCAAAGTATGTCATAACTCAGATTCTAAAACTAACATATGTCAAGTGGATGTAATTTGGATCCGAGTACTAATAAAAATATGTATTTTTTTAAACAAAAATCAATTACCCAAAAGACAGATCCATTGCATCCGAATAATAAGATATTATTTGATTGTAACATTCGAAGAATTTTTCTTAATAGAAAAGCTCAATCTACTACAAATGTAAGCCTCGACCACATTTAATTCAAAAACAATTACATGCTCTACTTTCTTGAGTCCAAGCGGATGTTTAACAGATTTATACCTTCACTTACCATGTTTTAACCAATTCATATCTTCAATTACCTTCAGATTATCCAACAATAGATTACAGAAACCGTGGCTAATCCTAATTTTAGGGAAAAAAAAAAAAAAAACTCTAAAAACAAATTTTAGAAACTAGTATATCAATAGAAGAGATAACTTTTCTCCATTGCATCATGTAAGCGATGGTAGTAAATTTAAAGAGAGAATTTACCTACCCTTCGTCAGCTTCAGTCTTGTTCAGCAGCTTCTTCTTCCTGCTTCTGTGATTTGGTGTTCTCCAGATTAAACCCTGAGTCCCTCTGCATACCATTTTTAGGATAGGCTTCTTTTCTTATTTCTGAATCCTTTGGAGCTTCACTTTCAGATTGCTCAAATTTTCGCACCTGAGTGCTCAACAATGATGGATATTGAATTGCCACACCTAAACCTCTTGCAAGACATACATACTTGATTACAAGTTGCCTATAGTTGTTTAGCAGATCATCAATATCACCAACCATCAGATCGCCAGCCTCAGAATACAAGTACGGGAAATCCACAAAGATTTGCTTAGCCTCTTCTTCCTTCAACAGCAGGGCTGCACCTTTATTTTCTGGGTCTGCTATTGATGGAACTTTATCTAGTGCTGCATCATTTTTCCCATATAATTCCTCACTCATGTCAGATTTGGTTTCTGATGACTCACCATGAGGATGAGGATGCGTTGCTGCATGATCCTCTGACTCTGCCTTGGTAGCAAGATCAAAATTTTGATTTGTCTGACCATAGAAATTATCAGAACTTTCACACAGACCAGACAGAAGTGCCTGAGCAGATTCCATGTTCTTTTCAAACTCCAAATCGTCCATAGAAAGAGATTTTGCATTAATATTCGTAATGAAAGACTCTACGGAGAGCATGTTTGTGAAGAAGTACGCTGCCTCACCAGCCAAACGAGTCTGTAGTCTAAACCTTTGGATATATGCAAGGTTTGAGTGTAGTTGAGGTGGATTAGCCTGTTCAAGATGTTAAAAAGGATTAATGATTTTAGCATAAAATTATTTTTTTTCAAGAAAAAGAGATACTAGACAAAACCATCTTCAAAATTTTGAATTTTTTAGAAGCAATCAATCCATCAGTGTACATGTGATGGAATCCAACAACAGGTTTTCTATCATTGGTGTATATGATTTTTCAAATAAGTTGAATGCTTTTCACCATGTTTTTCTAGTAAAGAAACATCATAAGCATATAGTCAAAACTGAAACACGAAAGCAACTTGCTGGATACATAGCCAGAGGGCAGAATTACCTTGACGGTGACATATATGAGAACCGGGAGAAATTCATCAGCTCCAGGGTGATCTTCATTAGAAGCAAGAGATACATTCAGCAATAGGTTATTAATGACTTTGCAACAGTTTAGAATGCAAACAAGTTTGTCCCTTGGTGCCTTGTACATGTTGATCTTTTGCAGCTCTTTTTGGGCAAGCTGCCAAAGCAGTACACGAATGGAGTCAAATTTCTTAATAAATAACCTAGACAGGTAACAGACTATCATTAGATGGATCCCATTGGCAATCAGAGTTTGTTCAACATAACAAATAGTTCTACTAGAAATAGGTGAATGACACTCTTCTCTTTTGTCATCAATATAACAACAACATCCCGTACATCCGGACTACGAAGCACTTAGAAAGAGCTACTTCTGAAAGGAATATAAGGAGAATCTATCACAGAATTCTAGAGGAAAACCACTGTCATATGTACTTATATATAATGCAACAATTTAGCAAGTTGGAATCTTGATTGGCTTGATTCAAATACTGGCATAGCAATGGAAATTCTGGTTCCGCAAGAAAATAAATCAGAGGTCCAGAACCTAAGATCATTCCCACATGGAACATAATGGATGAAACATTCAATGTAATGGAATAATTACATAGGATTCATTTCTTCACTCACCAACCATGATGTTTCGTTTTGATAGGTTGGCTTAATATCCAAATTCTCAGGCCGGACAAATTGCTGAATCAAAGCCATCTTTTCATTAAGCTGCTCATCAGCTTTGACATCTTCAGGAATTGAAGCAAATACACGAGCAAATAGCTTTGTCATGACATATTTCTCCATTCCCTGCAATTCAACAAACACCTGTTACTATGGTGCTTAACATTTAACAAAGAGAGAATACTCCACATTGACAGCAGTGGATGAGGATGAAACAAAAGCACATTAATTCACTACAACATAATTGAGCAAACTATCCTGCTGCTGGATTGTCCAAGGTTATAAATAATTCAAAACGCCCCAAGGTCGTGTTCTTTTAGAATTTAGGAATTCTTAGTTTTTGTTGTTAGTTATTAGAAACTATGAAACTTATAAAATATCTATTTTTGTTGTTTTTTTAAATGTGTTTTGTGAGAAAAAATAGTGTATGTTTATTGGGATTGGTAGTGTTTTGTGTAAGGAACTATACTCACTTCACTTGCACTCTCCAACTCCTCCTCTGTAGATCCAGCCCAAAGGGGATGAGCCCTAAATGCTGCTTCCATATTTCCAAGGAACTCCTGCACTGCTTTACTATCCCTTTCAGCATCTGGTGCATTGTTCAAAAATGACACTATGAAACTGCAGTGTCCGAATGAGAGAGAAATCATAATCAGATTATTGGTTAGGAAACCAAAAACAAAATAGGAAGTAAATCGACTTGTGCATTAAAAGGGAAAAGTTCCAATATTCCAATAAACTTCTTAATATTGTTAAGGAAACACAATCCAACATCCGACCAGCAATAGAAGGCCAATAAATGAAAACCACAATTACATCATACCTAATTGAAAGTGGAAATTAATGCCACACGAATGCATTGTGACTCGTTGAAGGTATATAACAATTAGCAATTGCTTTTATCAATCCTCTCAACAATTAACTCTATGAAAGTGCCAAAACCTAGCATAAAGCTCCTTGAATTTCAAAAAACCAATAACAGTACACCTCTTGATGGCCTTAACAAAATCCGCTGCGGAAGGATGGCGCATCCTCTCAAGAAAATCGTGCCAAGTCAAAGGCGCACTAGACGAACCGAACACGTCGGAATTCTCCATCGGCGATGGATCTGGTATTCACCAATGTATAGACACAATAATTAGGAAAATACCCTATTGGAAACACTAAATAAATCTTCAAAGACGAGGGTGAGCAAAATCAATAGAATTAGGGTTACGATAATGCATACGGAATATAAACAATCCCCTCTCCAAAAATTCGTCACAAAATTAACAAGAAATTCAATTCCAATCGATAGAATTAGTTTGCCACAATTGTCAAATAACTAAAAGTGGACTCCAGCCAGTTATAAAGATAATCAACACTCTTTAATTTCTTGTCAATTCAACTTCATTCACCAATTTCAAAATGATAGAAGAAAACTCTTAATCAGGTAATTATAATTATAAAAAAAAAACGGGGGGGGGGGGGGGGGGGGGGGGGTGGGGGAATGGATTTGAACTAGAAACTGTAGTGGATACATCCTTAATGGTGTCTATTAATTATGGTGCAAGTATATATGATCATCTGGGCAGCAGCTTCTTCATAACCAGTTTTTCCATTTATTGACAAGAGACAAAAAGTTACTTAGGGTGTGTTTGTTTGGGGGATTTAATAAGATTTCTACTATTCATCCAATTTTTTCCCCCTAAAAACATCAAATCAAACACCTATTTTTCATTTTTTATATTATACTAAAAATCAATTTTACATTCAAAACATCACATCAACACCTATTTATATCACATCATACAACTATTCAAATTCAAAATTTTTACTATTCAAATCCCAACTCAAAATCCAAACCCCCAAACAAACACACCCTTAATATATCTTCCTAGTCATGGGGGATCTACAACATTGATGTTCAATCAAATAATTGTATTCCAAAGCACATGATGCCCTACTTCAATATTAAGCAATTTCAAGCTCAGTTAAAGTTCTCAAGAGCAGAAGTTGTCGCCATCTAGGGTAATCCTGTAGCGAATCCCCATTAGAAGATTGAACCATAGTGATAGCTTGAAATGGTGAAAATTTTTCTTGTGCATACAAAAACTAATATTAATTACATGATAACGTAATTTAATTTCCTATCCCCTTACGTAAAATTTACAAGACAGAGATCCTTGTAGTTTCCCATGCCTCCAAACGAATAATCAAAACGATATAGTACATCAAGTATTTTTTTAAAACCTCAAGGAGCAGAAGTAAACTACAATATCACAATCTCCATTGAACATTAGTTTCAAAAAATTCATAGGTAGATCAAACTACAATCACCAAACCACCAACTGGATAGGTTTTATGCCAAAGAATGTTTCAACACCCTCCACTTTGTCATTGTTCCCCAACAAGATATCTCTCACCATAGCTTCTCTAATGGACAGTTCGGTGTACTGAAAATATCTTAGTAGTTAAAAAATAGCAACAACAGGCATACTTCTAATAGCAAATTTTATATCCAACTAGAAAATTTGTGTTTTATTAATTATCAGTTAACCAAGGATTGGTTACAGTCCAGCTAAGCTATTATCTAAGGGCATGATCTAAGATACATGCTTAAATCACGTGGAGGGAAAGAAAGAAAAATGTTCAAAACAAATACGACCCTAGATGCTTTGAATATTCAATATACCATTATCTAGTTAGTAGCTGAAACATCCACAATTTATTAATATCATTTTGCATTATCTAGCAGGTAGAACAAATTGGATCGTCAAATTAGTATCGATCAGTCACAAGGACATACTACTAACTTTCGGACGGGTTTCTAAGCACTCAAATTTATGAATAATATTATGATTATCATTCATACACATAAACAAGTACATTGAACTACTTTTCCTATCTTTCAATGGTTTTTCTTGAAAAATTATGAACAATAAATATTCACAATTTTGACAATGGAACTGCATGCCTGCAATATCCAGCTATATATTTCATAAAATAGCAGCATTTCTGTTGTCACAAATGCAATCCAGATTGAAAATTTGTGGGTAGTGCATGGCCTATGAAAGGAGCAGGGAGAAGATTTCACATCAAACTGTCAAAATGAATCAAAAAATCTTCAACTCTTGATGTATCCGTTCAAATGAAACACGTGCGATATAAAATTCAGATACAATACTTAGACAGACAGAGCTGATACAGCAGTACATTTAGGGCGCCTTCCAACATGAGTTCCAAGCCATGCCTTGTAAGGGTTAGGGACTCAATGATCCAATTAGATTATTGATTATTGGGTCACTCAAGATTATTTTTCTATTTAAAAGCTCATATATCTATTTGACAATTTATTTGCAGGTATACAACCATTGATCACTAAAGACATATGTTCACACTTCACCTATATGAAAATCCTTAAAGAGTAGCAATTCAATAAGAAAATAAAAGATGCTTCAAAAGGAATGAATGAACTTAATTACCTCATACCATGCATGAATCCTCACAGTACAATATATAGATCATCACTTGAGGTACCTGCAGGTTTTGGATACCACTTCAGTTTAACAGAGTTTGTGTGTCCACGCGGTGTAAATCCGTTCACACCCGTACCAAACACAATGGAGCAAGATAGTACTTAGTCAAACTACGGATTAAAGTTGCATGCACCAGTCTAACTCAGTAAGAACCAACAAAGCTAAGACACGTCAACACAGCAGGTACTGCTTTTAGGTTAACAGTGCAAGAACAACCAACCAAACAAATTGGGTTAACATGATATAAACTAACATTCTACTAACTATAAAAGACAATGAATTAAGTAAAATTTACTAGAATTGCACTAACATTATGGCAGTCTACAGAACAAACATTTCTTTTACGCAGTGAAAAATAGACTGAGTAAAGTGAAACTAAGTGTTTGTTTGGGGGTTTGGATTTTGAGTTGGGATTTGAATAGTAAAAATTTTGAATTTGAATAGTTGTATGATGTGTGATATAAATAGGTGGTGATGTGATGTTTTGAATGTAAAATTGATTTTTAGTATAATATAAAAAATGAAAAATAGGTTTATGATTTGATATTTTTTGAGGGAAAAAATGGGATGAATAGTGGAAATAAAATCCAATCCCCCAAACAAACACACCCGACTCAAGTCAAAATGCTTCCAAAACAAGCTTCTACATCCAAAAGAAAAGTCATTGCCAAATTGCACTATCTACAATGAACCTTTGACTTTATCGAATAGGCAGAAAATAGGAACGATCATCCTAACTCGTTTATACTATTGAAAGTAAGAGGAAGACAGTAACCTCAAAATCCGTCCATTGAGAAATAAGAAACAAAAATTGAAAAAACAATTATCATCTGAGTACAATAATTGAAATGCTGCAATAGGAAATTGACCGAAACACATAAAATTCACAAAATTTCTTCCGTAGTAATTGAAAGTTTCTCAGCCGACACTAATAGAATCAAAAAATCAGAAGCTACAGGCACATAATAGGTATGAAGAATCGACAAATGGCTCTCACAACCCTAGAAAACCGTTTCGCTTGAACAAAGAAAAAAACAACAGATGCAAAATAGAAATTAACCAAAAGAAACTTACATCCAAGCTTTTGAAACCAATTCCAAACACACAGAATACAAAAATCACTACACCGATTCACGCACAACGATGGCCCAACGAAACCAAAAAAAAATCAAAATCAAAACTATACTTTCTACACTTGCACTTTTCTGCTTGTTTGTGGATTTTTGTGTCTCCCTTCTATTCTCCTATCCGTTAGACACGAAACCATTTATTCATAAGGGCGTACTTTAGGTAATCCATACACCCATTTTCGGACTTGTTATCTTAGGCAATCTGGAAATTGAATATCCCAATTTCGGATACAACACATACCTTGCGATTTCTTCACCTTATGCGGCAAGTTGTTGTTCTTCTTCAGGGCAACGAAGTTCTCAGACACAGACGCGGCTCAGGGGCGGCGATTCGTGGCGGAGCTTGGGCAGATCGGAGCAGAACGAGCGGAACGGCGACTTGGGATGTTAAAAATGAGTTTGATTATTAGAATATATATTTTTCTAAAAATATATCGTGTAGTACTTATTTATTTGTTTAGTAAGGAAGATAATTCTGCTTGTGTTATAAAATATATCAAATATAATATAAATTTAAGTACATATATAATGTATATATATTTGTGTGTATATAATTTAGATAGAGATATGGAGATTGATAGAGAGAGAGCCGAAAGAAATATAAAGTGAAAGTAAATTCTATCATTTTATTTTCATTAAATACAATGCTGACTTATAAGCTATTTCCAATTCAATTAGTCATCAAAATTAGATATGTGTTATCATAATATAATGACATAATGCAATGAGTCTAGATGACAAAAGCAATAAATGACAACTATGAAAAATGCAATGAGTTATAACACTCCTTTAGGTCTCATTAATTGCAATGAATACGTCTCGTTAAAATCTTAATAGGAAAAAATTCAATTGGACAAAAATCCTAGTCAAGAAAAAAAAAAGTACGTCATTCATGCATTAAAAATACTTCACTTGATGTGGACACCACTTAAAATATTGCTCCCCTGATGTGGACATCATTTGAAATCTGGCAACCGACGCATCCCGATGATCTTTACTAATTTCTCGAATGTTGCGGTCGGTAAAGCCTTGGTCAACAAGTCTGCTAAATTTTGGTCTGATCGAATCTGCTGCACATTTATCTCACAATTTTTCTGAAGATCATGAGTAAAGAAAATTTTTGATGAAATATGTTTCGTTCTATATCCCTTGATATATCTTTTTTTAGTTGCTATACAAGCTGCATTATCTTCGTACAAAATAGTAGGAGGATTATCATTTTCATATTTCAAACCACAATTCTATAAAATGTGGTGAATCATTGATCTTAGCTAAACACACTCTCTACTGGTTTCATGAATTGCTATTATTTCTGCATGATTTGAAGATGTGGCGGTTAATGTTTGCTTAGTGGATCTCCAAGATACCACTTTACTGCCACAAGTAAACATATAGCCAGTCTGAGACTTGGCTTTATGCGGATCAGAAAGATACCCAGCATCTGCATATCCAATCAATTCATGTTGAGATCCTTTTGGATATAATAGACCAAGATCAATAGATCCTTGGAGATAACGAAAAATATGATTGATTCCTTTCCAATGTCGCTATGTTCGCATCGCACTAAATCTGGGCAATAAATTTACAACAAACGCTATATCTGGTCTAGTACTGTTAGTCAGATACATTAGTGCACCAATAGCAGTTAAATATGGTACTTCAGGACCAAGTGCTTACTCATTCTCCTCTTGTGGTCTAAAAGGATCTTTTATAGGATCGAGAGTTCTAACGACCATTGGAATACTCAATGAATGTGCTTTATCAATTGCAAATCGTTTCAAAACCTTTTGGGTATATACAGATTTATGTATCAAAATCTCATTTTCCAAATGTTCAATTTGTAGACCAAGACAAAATTTCGTTCTCCCGAAATCTTTAATTTCAAACTCCCTTTTCAAATATTCAATAGTTTCTTGGACCTCTCCAAGGGTTCCAATTAAATTCAAGTCATCCACATAGACAGCTATTATTACAAAATTTCTCCCATTTTTCTTTATAAAAATACACGGACAAATAGAATCATTGGTATATCATTCTTTCAATAATGATTCACTGAGACGATTATACCACATGCGACTAGATTGTTTGAGCCCATACAAAGACTTTTGTAATTTAATAGAATAACATTATTTTGGCTTTGATTTATATGCATCAGCCATACTAAATCCTTAAGAGTTTTTTTTGTAAATATCACTATCCACTGAGCCATATAAATATGCAGTTACAAAGTCCATCAGACGCATATCCAAATTTTTCATATACTGCCAAACTGACAAGATATCGAAATGTTATTTCATCCATTACTGGAGAATATGTTTCATTAAAATCAACTTCAGGTCTTTGTGAAAAACCTTGGGCAACAAATCTTGCTTTATATCTGACAATTTCATTATTCTCATTTCGCTTTCGAACAAATACTCATTTATAGCCAACAGGCTTAACACCTTCAGCTGTTTAAAAAATGGGTCCAAAAATTTTTTGTTTTGCCAGTGAATTTAATTCAGACTGGATCTCATCTTTCCATTTTGGCCAATCTATTCTTTTTCGACATTCATCAACTGATCTAGGTTCTGGATCCTCGTCATTTTCCATTAGATCAAGTGCTACATTATATGCAAAAGCATTATCCATAATTGTATCACTTCGGTTCCAATGCTTTCCAGTAGTAACATAATTTATTAAATTTTCAATAATTTCATTCTCTTCAGAAGAAATTCTATTATGATTAACATCTTCATCAAGTTTATCAGGATCAATTTCTTTAGAAATCTGATCTATGTTACTACCTGTTTCTTGAGAGTTTTGATTAACATTCAAATCATCAACTCTTTCATTTGTTCATCTTTTCTTTCGAGGATTTTTATCTTTGGAACCTACAGGTCTGCCACGCTTTAGGCGTACATTTGATTCATTAGCACTTTGTATTTTGTCTCCAAGAATAACAATTTTAGCAGGTACATTTTCAGCAGCTATATAAGATCTAGTGACCCTGCTGGCGTCACAAAAAGCATCATGCAACTAATTTGCTATTCGCTGCAAATGTAAAATTCTTTGTACCTCTAATTCACTTTGACTTGTACGAGGATCAAGAAAAATTAATTGTATTTTCCAAGTAATTTCCTTTTTCAGTTGATCAGTTTCTCCCCCTAATATTGGGAAATGCGACTCGTCAAAATAACAATCAGCAAAACGAGCCGTAAACGAATCACCAGTTAATGGTTCAAGATATTTAATGATAGATGGTGATTCGTACCCGACATATATCCCCAATCTCCGTTGGGGGGCCAATTTTTGTACGTTGGGGCGGTGCAATTGGCACATAAACTGCGCACCCAAAAGTCCTTAAATGTGAAATATTGGGCTTTTCATTGTATACTAATTGTATTGGGGAGTAGCTATGATAGCTAGTCGGTCTTAATCTTATCAATGTTGTTGCATGCATAATTGCATATCCCCAAGCAGAGACAGGAAGTTTGGATTTCATCAACATAGGTCTTGCAATTAATTGTAGCCGTTTTATAAGTGATTCAATTAGACCATTTTGAGTATGTACATGAGGTACAGGATGTTCAATTTCAATTCCAATAGACATGCAATGATCATAAAATGTCTTAGATGAAAATTCACCAGCATTATCAAGACGAATTTTCTTTATTGGGTGATCTGGAAACTGAGCTCGTAATTTAATTATTTGAGCAAGCAACCTCGCAAATGCCAAATTACGGGTGGATAATAAACACACATGCGACCATCTAGTAGATGCATCGATAAGTACCATAAAATATCGAAATGGTCCGCATGGTGGATCTACAGGCCCACATATATCACCTTGAATTCGTTCTAAAAATAAAGGGGATTCAATTTCCACTTTTACTGGTGATGGTCTAGTTATTAACTTCCCTTTAGAGCAAGCAACACATATAAACTCATTTGTATTTAATATCCTTTGATCTTTCAAGTTATGGCCATTGGTATTTTCAATAATTCGTCTCATCATAATATTACCGGGATGCCCAAACCGGTCATGCCAAATCATAAAATCTGTGGACTTCTGGTCTACCAGATATGTTTTAACCGCATTAATCTTTGTGCAATATAATCCGAAAGACAATGAAGACAATTTTTCTAATATATATTTATGTCCATCAATTAATTTTGTAATCAACAAAAATTCATTATTTGCTTTACTTAATGTCTCAATATGATATCCATTTCTGCGAATATCATTAAAACTCAACAAATTTCTTTGAGATTTACTATAATATAGTGCATTTTGGATATCAAGTTTTACTCCTTCGGGGAAAAACATTATCGCTCTTCCAGAGCCTTCAATTAACTTCGCACAACCACTTATGGTATTCACCTCAATTTTTCCCAACTTCAGGTTGGTGAAATATTTCTTATATTTCAAAATGGTGTGCGTTGATGCACTATCAATGAGACATGAATTGTCTTCCATATTATTCATTATAACCTGCTCAGCATTCATATTTCTTCTTCTGGGAGAAATATAAGAATAAATATATCAAAAATTTGGAGAAAATACATAGTTGTCATATCATTACAAAATGTAGGGAGCAAAAACTACATGTGTTACAAAAACTACAGGATTTTCATAGTATCCACCTTCAGGGTGTATTAGAAAATCAGATACATCTAGCTGCGTATTATCATTACATTTATCACCCTCATTTCCACTGGCAACATTCTCTGAAAAATTAATTTATGAGGGATTGACATTTTCCGGTGCTGTAACTTCTTCAGGCACTTTATCTTTCAGTTTCAGGGAATTTTGGTACAGCTCAACGAAATAAGAATTGGAACGACAATTTATGAACCAATATCCTGTCATTCCGCAGCGATAACACTTGTCCTCGCTTTTCTTTGAACTCTAACCAACATCATTCTGAAGCCGCTTCATAGGCCTATTTGATTCCTGCTCATCAAAATATCTCTGACGGTAATAATGTGAAACAAACCTGCCACAACCTCGTCCACGGTCGGCTCCACGTCCACGACCAAATCCACGTCCACTGCCTTGTCCGCGACCTCGTCCGCGGTAGAATCTAGGCATATTATTTAAACACTGAGTCGCATTCACTTCCGGGAATGGACTTGCACTAGTTGGCCTCGATTTGTGATTTTTTAATAATAATTCGTTATTCTGTTCACCAACAAGCAGATAAGTAATAAGATCACAATATTTATTAAAACCCCTTTCTCGATATTGTTGCTGTAAAACTATATTAAAGGCATGAAACGTGGTAAATGTTTTTTCCAACATATCCCTATCAGAAATATTTTCTCCACAAAATCTTAACTGGGACGTGATTTTGAACATCATGGAATTATAATCAGCAACTGTTTTAAAATCTTGCAAACGCAAGTGTTGTCATGCATGTTTCGCTTTCGGTAATATAACATATTTCAAGTGTCAAAACTG